CTACAGACAGACAAAAATTATTTAGGGTTAGTAAATTGTAAATTCTATTAAAAAAACTCAGAAATTCTTTTTTACTGACAATTAAACTTCAGTTTAGGAGACAAAGATAATTTATATTTAATATCATCTCTTAAATGCCGGTAGAAATTTGTACATGGTTCTTTCTCATAGAGAATAGAATATATATTAGAGGGGAATTTACTAGAAAAAGTGTAAAACGGCCATTTTGTTGTACTGTTTCCATACTGCAGGTGTACTTCACATATTTATGCTATATAACCTTTTGGGCCCTGGAATATCATTTTATAGAAAGTCTAAAATTATTGTTAAAAGAAAACCAAAGTATGAAATAGGCTGGTTTCATAATTGACCAATGATCATTTCACATAGACTCTTTGCCTTTCACTTTACAAACGATGATTTTCCGTTATAACAATAAATCAAATGATGTTTTTCATGCACCTAATTCATTATAAAGTTTATTTAACAGTTTAAAAAATTCGAAATTGAAAGATTAATAGTCTAAGGAACATACTGTATTAATGTACTCTACTGCATATAATTTGTGAACATTTACATGCTTTGTACACTTTGAACTCCCTTTCAGGCTGAAAGGGACTGAAAAAATTCATACCGAGAGATTCTTTAAATTCCCCTCTAATATATATTCTATTCTCTATGGTCTTTCTGCAAACATATCAAAATATCAAATGCCAAATGATCAAATGTCTAATTATGGAGTACAAACGCAGTACGTTTCAGTTAGGTCAGCAAGCTAGACATGTAAACAAATCAGAGAAAAATCACAACAACGGATCGTACTGCATTGTTCATCTCAAAACCGATTAAATGTCAACAACAAAGAGAAAACAAAGAGGAGACGATTAGAGATAAGGGAAGAGAAGAAAAGAGATAAGAGAATAGGAGAGTGGAGAAGAGAAGATAAGAAAAGAAAAGAGAAGAAAAAAGAGAAGAAAAAAAGAAGAAAATTGAAGAGAACGAAAAATAAGAGACGAATGGAGAAGAGAAGAAAATGGAAGAGAAGAGAAAGAAGAATTAGATTGCGTGAAAGAGAGAGATTGTATTTTACAGACGTTTTATCATAAAAATATGTTTAAGAATACCATAATCTTTAATTGATCTAAAAATGTACGCTAAACAGTTAGGACAACTGTTTTTTTCAAAAATATCATACAATTTAACAAAAAAGTTAATTTTAAAGATTCTTGATCATTTGGCATTTGCTATTCTGATATTTTTGCGTTCAGTCCCTAATATCTGACGTTTCTATTTCACTAAAAATACAATACAGTAATACAAGCAATAAGAAGAGAAAAAAAGTTCAATTTTTAGATTAGATGTAAAAAAAAGATTCACTGCCAAGAAGTACTTTAAATAGAATATACAGTAAATGTTAAATAAGGCACGAATTTTTATTATACCATGAAAGTACGATAGAAAGCAATGCCAACCAATCAACCTGAGCCCTACAATGAAGCAAAACGTTAAATTGATGTTTGATTTAGTTTACCAAAGTTTGATACCTGTAAACACGGATTTAGTAGGATTTAAGAATTAAGAATAGACACAAATCTGGAAAATATATATTAAATGGGACAGATATTTTTATCTTAAATTTTTAGGGGTTTTAGTTTTTTCCTATCTGTTATGAATACAAGTATGAAGCTATTATTATGTAGTTCTCTAGGCTGAATAATTTTTTCATCCCACCATTGTAACAAACAAAACTAATGGCTATATTTTTTCAGGGACGGACAAAAGAAGACTAGTACGGACACTATTGTCTCTTAACTCTTAAGGTATATTTAACTGTTTTAGAAAAAAAAATATTGATTACAATTTTATATATAAATATTGAATCAAAAGAAATGCTCAAAGTATTTAAAACTTATGATCTAAAACAAATGACTTTTAACCATTTTTCATGTTGTCAGGTAATCTAAGAAAACATTTTAAAAATGCCCTTAAAAACAAAATCTGTATTCTAAAATATAGTCCAGAACTTATCCGAATATGGTCGAAAAATCATTGTGTGATTAACTTTATATTTTTTCTCTACGGAAACATTTTCGTAAGAAACGTAATATTGAAATCTTATTTTCGATCATAACTCAATCATATAAAGCTATAGAGAGGAACAAAATGGTTTGAATTTCTAATATATAACCGAAAAAATTTGCTTTTCTCTTACGCTTGTCCATGAATCAAAACTAGTCGATCTACGAGGTCACAAAGTTGCATAAATCTGACCTTCTCCTTCTGTATATAGTTTGCATAGTGGTAAGTAAAAATATCTTGTGTTTATAGAGAAATTAGTTTGAAAAATGTAGAATTTTAAAATCTTATTCTAATTTCTTCAGGAAATGTTTTTCATTCGTTCTAATATTACATTACACTTATTGTTTTATATGTATGGGAGTAAGGGTGTCATGGGTGTATGTATGTTAACAAAATAACTTTTCTGGTTTAACAAAATTAATAATACATTTAAAGAACATTATTATGATTATCTAAAATGTATGTAAACATGAATAATAAATGTTTTAAAAAATCTTGTTATTTGGAAAATAAAAATAAAATTTTTTTTTTTTAAAATAAAATTAATTTTTTATTGATTTTTTAAAATTTTCAATTATTTATTTTCCAATGCTACATCATTATTCTAATTAGATAAATATATATA